AGTGTGTCCTATTCTGGCACGGGTTATAATGACCTCATCCCTTCTTTTGAGGAATTGGGTTTTTATCCAGGTACTTATTAAGGGTATTCCAGTGTCGTTATGGATTTGGGCGTACCATGGTGCTTTTATAGGGAGATCCTAAGGAATTTGTTTTGGAGAGTTTGGATTTTTTAAATTTTAGTGGGTGAGGCTGCCGCCCAAACAGGGCAGGCATATGTTAACAGCGGCCTGATTATTGAGGTATATATAGAAGGAGTGATGACTTGATTTGTAGTTTACTAGTGAGCAGGGGCGAAAGCAGGGGGGGGGGTTAAACACCCCCCGAAATAATAGGTACAAAAAATAAATTATCTGACCTACAAATGTATTAGTGTATTACTTATAACATTTCAAAAAAATTAAAATAAATTATTAGTTATTAAAGAGTTTCCCTTCTCCCGTGGTTTGTAAATTAATGGATACAGTAAAATCACCAATGAAATGTATGATAATGCAGTTTCGAAGTGAGTATGACAGTAGGTATGTTATAACTTATTAATAACTGATCGACATCGAAGGCCGCCAATCCGATGATGTAGGTACGTAATGTAGACAMACACTGCCACTTGTTATGCTTAGGTTCAATAAAAGTTTCAATTAAAATATACTAAACCTACTTTCCTTCCTTATTATTATTTATGCCTATAAAGTATATCCCTACATAATAATATGATATTATGTATGTATATTTTTCATCTAAAATGTTTAAAATTAGACCCAAATTATTGTAATTATTATAACATACTGTAGGGACTAGGTCGAGACTACAGAAGATGCCTAACCAGGATTAACAAAAAAACATTTATAACATTCTAATATTGTATACAAACATTTTTAAAATAAAACTCCATAAATGATAATCCTTTTCATACAATCATGTCCTTGTCTTGGGATAATTATTCTTCTTTTTTGTATTTTATCTATTATATCTATATTCTATATCTATGAACAATAAAACCCTAGACTAGGATGAAAGCTGTTGCACTGTTCTACAACTTTTTGGTATTCTTTTGTCACTAACAGTTTTCAAATTTAAAACAGCATGCAAAATTAGTTTGAATCTGGCTGAACCAGTTATTACTGGTGTTTAATTTTCTTACAGACAATTGGTATTTACTATTTAGTTTATTTAATGAACTAATGTTACATAAGAAATAAGTTATGATTTCTAATAAAATCCAACACTAATCCGTGACTATTCCAATCAATTTTCAATATTTTTATTTTTATTT